TTATTAGTCCCTTTCCTATCCCCTCAATTAGAAAAATATTGAGAAAAAAATTACTCGATTATTATGCACTTGTCGTTATTTTCTGTATATCACTATTAAAAAAACTCTTTTTATACCATCTAATTTATATTGTTTATTGTGGCAACGATGTAAAAAATGCAATGGATAGTATTTTGCAAATATTGATAGATTTTTAAACTAAAATATACTTTTCACACCGCTTGTAAAAAGTATCAAAAATATTTTTTAAAAAAATAATATTTACAAAATTTTTAGACTGATTTTTCATACAATCGATCTAAAATATACTTTCTACACCAGATATTTATTACAACTTGTATAAAAAGTTTTTAAAATATTTTTTAAAAAAATAATATTTACCAGCTTTGGCAAGGTGATTTAAAATAAAATATAAAGGTTTAACCTACTTTTTTTTGTGGTCGTCTCTTCTAAATCAAATTTTATTTTCTAGTAATCTCTTTAAGTTTTTTACAATCTTCTTTTTATGTTTCGTCTATTAGTAACCTCAATACTGGTCTTTTTATTCATACTTTTCTCTTTTGTACTGTGACATCTTCTTCGTGCTTGTCTCCTTATAACACATCATGTTTTCCATACTCATTATTTTCTTCAAGTTTATCAACTTCTCCACCATCATTAAGTAGAGATCCATGCTCACACCATCTAGAACTATAACCATCCATTTAAATCTATACTATCTCAAACTCTCATTGTATTGTTGTTCAAATGCTCATATTATCTAGATCTGTACCTGCCTTCATCACCGCTATATTTATTTTAAATTTATACTCTTTTTCTATTTGTTTGTTCAATGAATAATTTTGAACTTTGTTAAATATTTTTATTGTATGAACCAATATGAACCAATATTATTTCTGAAAAACTTGGTTAGTTTTTTTAGGTCTCATTAGATCTGATTGTTTATACTTTTATACTATTTCTTATTTATTGGATTGTTAGATTGTTTGTTGTCATGTTACAAGGCCTGGATTTCATAAGATAATCCTAGCTTTTTCTGGATTTTATCAGATCTTATAAAACCGCAAGTTTTTTTTTTTTTGGTTTTATTCTATACCGGTTTTGCAACCAACGTAAAAAAACATCGGATTTTAAACATCGCTCATTTTTATACTAGTTATTATGTCAAATGGTCATTCTAATCTTTGTGAAAAACTTTTTTTAGTGGTGTATCTTACTCATTTATTATTTATTATGAGATTTTTTCCTAATTAAATTGGTTATGTGAAAGACAATGTAGTTATTGCTCCAGAGAGATAAAACTTAGCTAGCTAGGACCAGGGGGCGCGTTGTTTTTTCCTTTTTACCAGAGGGGGCGCGTTGTTACTATTACAGGTAGAAATAGATTTGAATTTTTTGGGCTCCTGGCTGTTGAGAAAATGACCCCTATAGCCTATATGTCAAGAGATGTAGGGCAATTATATTGTATGTACTTAGCATCATGATTTATTTTTAAGGAAGAAAATTAACTGTACGCAGCCTTTTGGCCTTCTAATTAGGTGTAAATTTGTATATTAAAATTTCTCTTATCGGTTTGGGATATTAATTAAATCTAATTGAGTTTATTACTCTTCATATTCTAAATACAATGTTTACACTATAAAAAAAGTCTTATATTTAAGACTGAAGTATATTTTTATTACCCGTTCCATTATCATTAATATTTTTGAAGGACTGTTGTCAAAAAAATATTTTTTGAAGGATTATGTGTAAATACTCATTTCCATTTCTTAATAAGTTGAATAAAAAAATTCCATAGACTTGCAGTTTTTATATAACAACTAGTCATGCACACTGGAAGTAAATGTTAACAATATTAATAATAAATTCTAAAATAAATAATATATAAAAATTTACATATTTTCCTTTGATTCGAAACAAGAATCTTAAGTGTAATTTTTTATTGTAAATTAAGGCACGCGTATAGACAAACAACTAATTAAAAGTAAAATACTCTAATTATCTTTCTATTTTATTTAAATTTCAAAGGAAAAAATTGCAAATAAAGATCTCCGAAATGTAAAATTGTGATTTGGGATTCTTAATTTGGAAAATAGCAAATAAGAATCCAGTCCTATTTTTGCAAATATGAAATCATGATTAAATGTCTAAAATGCCTCTCAATCAAATGACAAGTTAACTATAAGAAATGACAAGTTTATTTTAGCGAATGACAGCTTTAGTAGATCAAATCACAACTTGGTTGAGAATATACCAAATGACAAGTTGACTATAGGAAATAACAAGTTTACTTTAGCGAATGACAACTTCAATAGTCCAAATCACAATTTAGCTGAGGGGTATTTTAGACATTTCACCCACATTTCATATTTGCATAAATGGGACCAGGCCCTTATTTGCTATTTTCTAAATTTAGGATCCCAAATCGCAATTTTATATATTGAAGGATCTTTATTTGCACTTTTCTTATTTCAGAAACTTTTTTTCTATTTTGAAAATGTATATAAACATCTATTAAAATAAAAATGAATATTACACAAACCTTCCTTGTATATTTGAGATTTTATTTGCTATTTTCTAAATTTAGGATCGCAAATCACAATTTTATACATTGAGAAATCTTTATTTGCAATTTCCCCATTTCAAAAACTTTCTTTTTATTTTGAAAATATATATAAACATCTATTAAAATTAAAATGCATATTACACAAACTTCCTTGTATATTTGAGGTTTTATTTTATATTTATCCAATCGTTAGGTGACTATTAAGTTTGACTTTTAAACTTTTATTTTGGCCAAAATATCCCTTTTTAACATAAAATTTATTTAAACATTTTTATTTGTCAAAAAAATAATTTTTGATATAAAAAAATAATTTTAATACATGTATTTTCAAATTTTTAATATGAAATAAAATTTATTGATTCTGATTATATATAAAATTTTATATTTTTAATTTTTCACTGCATAAAAATAATAAATAAATATTCTTTCATCATACAATATAAATTGTCTAAGTCTGAGAGACTATAGAAATCATTTAAATTTATAATGTATAACTTTTCAATAAAAATTTGGTTAGAAACATTTATAACATATCTAGTTTATTATATATTATTTAAATAATTAATCAAACTTTCATTTAAGGTTGTTATGTCTACATAAACTAATTAATTAATGTTCCATCCCAATATGACAAAAACACTAAACAAATAACTATTTGTCAAAAAAATAAAATAAAATTAAGGAAAAGGAAAAAAAATTTAGATTCTTCAAAACTTTTTAGCCAAAATTTAGAGACTTAATACTATGAAGGACAAATTAGTAAATAAAAAGCGCTTTAATATAACTTTTAATTAAAAATGTTTTTAGAATATTCTCAATGGAGCTAACAATTTGGACTTAAGGCTTTGTTTGGTTCAACAGAGGAGAGGGGAGGAGAGGTTGATTAAAGAAAGAGGAGGGGATGGGAGGGGATGTCATGATTTTGTTTGGTTGGAAGGAAGGGGAAGGGAGGAGAGATTTCTTGTTTGATTCATAAGAGGAAAGGAGGCGAAGTAATTATAAATTGACAAATATGCCCTTATCTCTATATTTAGACTGATTTATTTTTTTATTATAATATTTATATCAAAATTATTATTTCTTAATTTATCAATTAAAAAAAACTAATTTCCTCACTTACATGTGATAAAAAATGATAAAACTAAAAAAAATTAGAAATACGATAAAAAAAGTTTAACATTCTATCCCATTAATTTTATAAATAAATGTATTAATATATATGATATGTATATATTATATAATTATAACACGCACGTTATGATATATATATATATATTAATATATATGCATGTTATCTGAGATTATAATACACACGCGCTATGATATATAATTATAATACACACATGTTATGATATGCACATATTAATATATATGATATGTATATATTATATAATTATAATGTTATATTATTATCATCAAATATTATTAGTGGCTAGAAAGAGAAAGAAGTAAAAAAAAATTTTAAATAAGATGGACAAACTTGAAATATTGAAAAGTTAGTATGGATAGTTTGGTCAATATTAGACATAATATTTTTCTCCCCTCCAAAAAAAATTCCAAATTTGGAGGAGAGCATGGGGAGGGGAGGAAAGTACTAAAAAACAAATTTCTTCCCTCCTCTCCCCTCTATTTTTTTAAACCAAACACACTTATCACCTCCCCTCCCCTCGCCTCCCCTCCCCTCCCATTAACAACTTTCCAACAAAACAGAGTCTAAGTGTTATATTTTTAAAATAGAAAAAATATCAATGTAATTAGGACAAAATGTAAGAGATGTCAGAGTATTTTACTCATTAATTAATAGACACATCATACAAATTAGGGTTAAGGTGCGCCCAGCATCCCAAACTATTTTTCCAGGTACATCCAGTGTCCTAAAGTAATTTTCGGTGCATCCAGTGTCCCAAACTAATTAAAACGGTGCATCCAATGTCCCAAACTAATTAAAACGGTGCATCTATATCCCGGGCTAACAGAAAAGTTAAGTTTGACCATTAGTTGACCGAAAAATCTGACGTGACGGACACGTAGGCGTCTGATGTGTGTTATTTTGAGGAGTTAAAGTGTGCCCAGCATCCTAAACTATTTTCCCAGGTGCACCCAGTGTCATAAAGTAATTTTTGGTGCATCCAGTGTCCCAAACTAATTAAAATGATGCGTCCACATCTCGGGCTAACAGAAAAGTCTCGTTTGACTGTTACCTTCTTAATTCAGCTGAAGGTTGACTGAAAAATCCTGCATGGCGGACATGCAGGCGTCTGATGTGTATTATTTTGACTGAAAATTCAATTTATTTCCTCCTCTTCTAACATTTATCTTCTGCCAGTTTTTAAACTTAAAAAAAATAAAGACCACCGATCCACCCTCTTAAATCCTGGTACATGTACCACCCATTCAATCACATCCTCGTCTTTAACATTTTATCCAATTTCTTCTACCATTCCGATTTGAAACCACAACTGCTGTCATAGCACACTTCCATCTTCATCTCTGTTGACTCCTCATTTGACTCGCATTTGCTTTCCTCCTCGTAGAACACAGTAAACTTTCCCTTGGTCACTCCATCGACATCGTCGTTGCCTTCCGAGAAAACACCCGCCGCCACCGGGCTCGTCTCGGGAGTTTTAGTCAAAATAATACACATCCGACGCTTGCGCTGAATCAGCAAGGTAACGGTCAAATGAGACTTTTCTGTTAGCCTGGGATGTGGACGCACTGTTTTAATTAGTTTGGGACACTGGATGCACCAAAAATTACTTTAGGACACTGGGCGCACCTGGAAAAATAGTTCAGGGTGCTGGGCGCACCTTAACTCGTCAAAATAATACACATCTGACGCCTACGTGTCCGCCACGTCAGATTTTTCAGTCAACTAACAGTCAAACTTAACTTTTCTGTTAGCGCGGGATATGAATGCACCGTTTTAATTAGTTTGAGATACTGGATGCACCGAAAATTACTTTAGGACACTGAGTACACCTGAAAAAATAGTTCAGGGTGCTGGGTGCACCTCAACCCTTCAAATTATTCAATGAAGACTTACATATAATTTAATACATGATTTAGTAGTGAAGCAATCCAACAATCCCAATAGTTAGGAAGTGAAATTTTGCATGATAGCATCCAATATAATTATTTGTAATTTTTTAATTAGATATTTACTTAATTAGCTTATTAAAAATTTTTAAAATTAAATACCGGAAACTATAATACAAAAATTGCAGAATCATCATATGGCCATAACAATCAAACTATCTTAATTATAATTTACATTGAATTCAAAGTAATGGACAACGCAAGGTTAAAAAAAAGAAGAAATAAAGAAATAAAGTGATCGAAAATTTATTAACATTTTCGTACTATTTATTGATTGAATAAAATTTTCTTTCCTATATCTATGCAATAAAATAATCTGTAATATAATATCTTTCTAAATATAAATAATTCAATTATTTATAAAAATATTTTTCATTATAAATTTTAATTTTTATAATGAACCAATAATTGATAATTATTCATAAAAGAGCAGAAAGTTAGAAAATAAAGATCACATTATTGATCCTTGTAGGGAAATAAAAATTACCGAAAATCTCAAAAAAAAATTGAATTTTAAAATTGCAATTCAACATTTTTATTATAATTTAATAGTATTTGACTACACTTGAAAAGAAAATGATAACATATTTTTGTAGCAATTTCTGATTTGAGATTTTTGAAATTTCGGAAGTATTTTTTTGGGATTTTCTCCCGAGATTAAAACGATGGCCAAAAAACAGTACTTAAAGTTAAAAACAAATTTTATATCTTTACCCAGAAAAATAAAGCTTTTGTGGTTAAAATATGTAGACACGATGTGAATTCATATCCTTGTAAAGTATGATATCCGCCCCTTTTAACAAGATAAAATTTTAACCGCAAATAATTTGATTTTATATTTGCAGAATATAGGTGGGTTAAAATCTTAACAGCTCTGTAAAACAGGAACTGCGTATCTAATGCATATTACCTCCGGTCCTAATTATAAGAGCTAGTTGACTAATTTGAGGAGATTAAGGAAACAAGTTAAATTAGAAGGATTATCTTAGAAAAAAATATATAAATATTAAAGACAAAGTGGATTAGAGTTTTATATTTAGAATCAAAATAAAAGTCAAACAAGGTGTTATACTCCTCCGGTCCTAATTATAAGACCCAATTGACTTATTTGAGGAGATTAAGGAAGTAAGTTAAGTTGGTTATTTATAATAAATAAGTGTTGTCATTCTTAAAATATCCTTGCTAATTAAGTATATTGGCTAAAACTATCATTATTAGAAGGATTATCTTGAAAAAAAATGCATAAATATAAGAGACAAAATGGATTGGGGTCTTATAATTAGGACCAAATAAAAAGTCAAATGGGGTCTTATAATAAGGACCGGAGGAGTATTAAGGACCGGAGGTAGTATAATAGATTAGAGTGTGTGCGCATCTATTATCACTAGCCCCATAAATATTTCTTGTTTTTTTAATACAGTGCCCCATAGATATTTTTAATTCTGAAGCCAATCTCAGTTTGCACCGCAGCAAAATATACAGGGAGGAAGTGATTATTTGATTCCGTTAATAATAATTTTCCCCCATCGTAGATTATTTTTGTCAGTTATAATAATTAAAAAAATACGATTGCAGAAAATTTTTTCCCCATCGTAGATTATTTTTGTCAGTTATAATAAATTTTGTTGCATATAGAAACAAGATTACAGAAAAATTTACGATATGAACATTTATAGAAGAATCTATTTGATTTGGAGCACATTCCAAGCTCATGGTACAAGTTAATTTCATTACAGCAATGAATATACGATGTAGCGATGAGCACTGGATGAGATCCGATTTGATCACGAACAAATAGTACAAGTTTAATGTTTTTATTTAGTATTATATTAATTCAGTAAATGTATCATTATTTTCAAATTCACCTTGTGAGGTAGGCATGAGTTGGCATAATACATATAATAGCGTTCGGGTTCCAATTTCCTTACAAACGGCATCACGGCTTGGTTTTGTCCAAATCGTATGTGCAGATACTAACATGAATTGGTCTAATTGGTAAGAAATAGGCTCATAACCCATAAGGTCGTGAGTTCGAATTTCACTGCTGATATGAAAACTTTATTAGTGAGTGATCTGTAAGTACCTCTATAAACGTTTTTTGAGCCTTGAGGCATGTCCTGACCCTAGTGAGTTCCCGAGACCCAACTCACTTAAACTTTTTCGTAGGAAAAAAAAAAAAGGTATGTGAAGATGACATTGAAAGCCTGTAATTTCACTTCTTTTAAAAGCATTAAAAATGGGATTGACCCTTGTTTTTGCCTATAAGGGATCGTACATGAATTTGTGCGTGCGTGCCACTCTTTGAAGCTAAAAGTAGGGCTGAATTGAATTGCGGCGACAAGGATTTGGTAGTTTGGGGCATCTTCAATATGTGAGAGTTAATAGACTTCATACTTTAAGGAGAGATTGTTTGAATGGCCAGTGTAAGTGAACTTGAGTTAAGTAGTAAATCTCAAAATTCTCACATCATATATAGTGGGGAAAAAAAACAACTATAAACTTGAGTTCTAATATTTTGACTTAAAAGCGTAGATTTCCCGTTGATGCTTGTTTGTACTTGTTTTCTATTTTTAGGTTTTGCTGCCTGTTTTAACTCCATTTTTGCAGTTCTCAACCCGGATCAAATATCTAGCTATAGGGTAAGGTACCTCTAAATGTCCCACTTTCTAATATTCTTTGTAATTCCCCTAGCTTCTAAATGTATTTTTTTTCTATGATTATTAGATTTCATATAAAATACTACCTCCGGTCTTTAATGTAAAAGTTCGTTTGACTTTTATTTCAGTCCTAAATATAATATTCTAATTCACTTTGTCTTTTGTATTTATCTATTTTTTCTCAAAGTAGTCATTGTAATAATAGTAGTTCTAACCAATATACTTAATTATCAAGGATATTTTAGAAAAGATAACCCCTCTTTATTACAAAAAATTAACTTAACTAATTTTCTTAATTTACTCAAATTAGTCAACTAGCTCTTATATTAAGGACCGATGATAGTAAGTGATATTTTAATGTCTTATGAGCATGAAATGGTGTAGTTTTGAATTTAATATATTTTTCAAAGAAAAATGCTTTAAAAGTGTTTTGTTTTAATTTGATCTTTTTGAAAAATAAAAAATTCAAAATTACAACGTTTCATCCCATAAGATATTAACATTTCAGTTTTTATATATAGAATTTAATGATCAATAGAAAAGAAAAATACATTTAACCCAAGGGGCATTAGAAAGTGGCGCATTAGAGGCCTTTTGCCCAGTATCGACCATACTAATTAAACGTGCATAGCTTTTGTATAATTATGAACTAAATTTGCACCCCGTCTTGCCTTTTTATTAGCATTATACAATTATATATAACGGAATATAAGTTAGATATATTCTTTCGGTTCTTAATATAAAACCTATTTAACTAATTTGATTAGATTAGGAAAGTTAGATAAATTAGTTAATTATAAGAAATATGATATGTTTTTCCTAAAATACTATAATCATCTTCTTTAATATCCTTCCTCCTTCTCCTACTTGATTATGATTGGGAGGGTATCAATAGAGATAACTTAGAAAAAATTGATAACCATGAGAAATATGTCTTATATTTAGAACTAAAATCAACTTAATAATTAGATTTTATATTAAGGACCAGAGGAATATTACACAAAAACATAAGTTTAATAATCCAATACATTTGTTTAATCAATTATGCCTATATATCAAGTGTATGCCTGTTTTCAGGTAAAGCAAATTGTTTATTTAGATTGTTGCAGTTAACACATGTTCTAAACAACTAAACAGGAAAAATATGTCTCTAGCTGGGGAGCTAGTTGCTTCTTGCAAACACATATACTTTTGAGAAGTCATTAATTTAACGCAAAAATCTCAAAGACCATTAGTTTCTAAATCATCTCACATTGATATATTTTTCGATCAGTCCTCCTGAAACTAAAGATATATTCTAATAAACTGAGAGCATCAAATTCAGCGTGCAATAACTTTCTGTGTTGAAAGCGATATGAAAAGATCCAAAGTTGAAGCTGAACAATCCCGCCAAACATGCTTCCATCTGCTTCTACAAAAACACGCAAAAGACGAAAAAAAAAAAAAAAGAATCAACATGCACAATCATCCATCTTCAACACATTACCCACTCACAATGAACAGTCCATAAATGCACAGAAGAAGAGACGACGAATGGCTTCATTATCCTCTCTCTCTATACAGTACTCTATTCTTATGACGCCCTATTGGATGATATCGAAACTGAATATAATATTTTACTTGTGAAAATGGACTACAAATCTATGTGTGTTTATATAAAAAAATTTAGATTCTCATTTTATATATATATATTTATATAAGGTGCTCGATCATATCGATGCATGATGCATCTACGTCTTACTTTGCTTTAGAATTTTGATATATGCGTAAAAGGGCCAACTTTAAATGAGAACAATGTCTAAAGATGATCATTACTGTTCAGCAACAGAGCAGAAAGACAAAGAATGTCCCCAAAAGTCGTGCTTGACTTTCTGCAACTTTGACGATTTATATATACATATATATATATATATGTATATATATCAACAACCCAAAACGAAGAAAGA